ACTATTCTTGTATGGTATTAGTAAGTAAATATCCCTGCAATTGAGACATGGAGAAACCATTCTCTAAACCTCAAGTTCACCATAATAGTACAGCTATCACATTTATTATTATTCATTTGAAGTATTTTTTGAAGTTTTATTTTTATTTTTTATTATACTTTAAGTTCTAAGATACATGTGCAAAACGTGCAGGTTTGTTACATAGATATACATGTGCCATGGTGGTTTGCGTCACCCATCAACCCTTCATCTATATTAGGTATTTCTCCTAATGTCACCCCTCCCCTTGCCCACACCCCTTGACAGACCCCGGTGTGTGATGTTTCCCTCCCTATGTCCATGTGTTCTCATTGTTCAAGTCCCACTTGTGAGTGAGAACATGTGGTGTTTGGTTTTCTGTTCTTGCTTTAGTTTGCTGAGAACGATGGTTTCCAGCTTCATCCATGTCCCTGCAAAGGACATGAACTCATTCTTCTTCATGGCTGCATAGTATTCCATTATGTGTATGTGCCACATTTTCGTTATCCAGTCTATCATTGTTGGACATTTGGGTTGGTTCCAAGTCTTTGCTATTGTGAATAGTGCTGCAATAAACATATATGGGCATGTGTCTTTATAGCAGAATGATTTATAATCCTTTGGATAGATACCCAGTAATGGGACTGCTGGGTCAAATGCTATTTCTAGTTCTAGATCTTTGAGGAATCACCACAGTCTTCCACAATGGTTGAACTAATTTACACTCCCACCAACAGTGTAAAAGTGTTCCTATTTCACCACATCTTCTCCAGCATCTGTTGTTTCCTGACTTTTTAATGATCGCCATTCTAACTGGCATGAGATGGTATCTCATTGTGGTTTTGATTTGCATTTCTCTAATGACCAGTGATGATGAGCTTTTCTTCATGTTTGCTGGCCACATAAATGTCTTCTTTTGAAAAGTGTCTGTTCATATCCTTCACCCACTTTTTGATGGGGTTGTTTATTTCTTGTAAATTTGTTTAAGTTCCTTGTAGATTCTCGATATTAGCCCTTTGTCAGATGGGTAGATTGCAAACTTTATCATGTAAATTTTATAATCTACATGACAGAATGTATATCAGTCTGATTCAGCCCATGATTACACTATAAACTCACTGAATAGATTCTACTGGAATAGACATCTTTTTATGTTATGGTGTCTATATTATCATTTATATCTACTACTGCCACTAACATTAGCAATAGTTATTATTATAGTTATTATTATAATAGTTATACAATTATAATAGTTTTTACTACACACATGTATGTATATCTATCTATACATGGATGAAGGTAAGTCTTAGTTGCCTATAAAGGTCTGGTTTTGTCCTTGCTCAAGAGATTTTCGTAAGTGCAACCAAAAATAGATCATGCAAGTTAACGCTATCTTTCTGATACTCTCAGTAGGCATTTATAGAGCCGCTTCTACAGGTTCAGTATCCTTTATCTGAAATGTTTGGGACCAGATATGTTTCAAATTTCAAATTTTTTTCAGATTGTGGAATATCTGCATAGACAAAATGAGATATCCTGGGGAGGGGTCCCAAGACTAAACATAAAATTCATTCATGTTTTATATATACCTAATATATATAACCTGAAGGTAATTTTATACAATATTCTTAATAATTTTATGCATGAAACAAAGTTTAGACTGCTTTTTGACTGTGACCTGTCACATGAGGTCTGGTGTGGAATTTCCCACTTGTGGTTTCATGTCGTTGCTCAAAGACTTTCAGATTTTGGAGCATTTCAATTTTTGGATTAAGGACTGTCAATTTTACTATCGCTTATGTCACTGAAGTAAAACTTTAAAAAGTTAAAACTTGCCTTTTAATTTCTTGAGTCAGCCTGCAATCAAATCTTTGTAATTAAACCCAAAAAGAACCTGTTGAAATTATTCCAGACTAGTTCTTCTAAACCAGTTTTTACTCTCCTTTTCCAATGTCTAGTATATAATGGATTCTCAGTGAATGTAATAGAGATTTAACAGTTTAGTTCACACACAAAATCACGAGAAAACCTATGAAAAATTTAAGGTCTGTACCCAAAGAATGCTGTATCGAATATTATCCCACTCAGACCAAATATTCAGCTATTAAATGATTGATAGTCTGTGTTAAGGAAGTTTAGAGGCTTTTTTTTTTTCATATTCACTCTAAGATTATCACTATGAAATACATAGGATTGGCTGGGCACAGTGGTTCACGCCTGTAATATCACTTTGGGAGGTCAAGGCGGGTGGATCACTTGAGGCCAGCAGTTCAAGACCAGCCTGGCCAACATCCGTCTCTACTTAAAAAAAAAAAAAAGAAAGAAAGAAAGAAAAGAAAAAGAAAAATTAGCTGGCTGTGGTGGCAACACGACTGTAATCCTAGCTACTTGGGAGGCTGTGACATGAGAATTGCTTGAATCCGGGAGGCAGAGGCTATAGTGAGCCAAGATCACACCACTGCACTCCATCCTGGGCTATAGAGACTCTGTCTCAAAAAAAAAAAAAAAAAAAAAGAAAAAGAAAAAGAAAAAAGAAATACACAGGATTGTGTTTACCACACTGTGGATTAATTCCATTTTGGGACTGAGTCGTAAACAGTATTTAAACAAGCTCCATCAGTTCATTCTAAGTTTCATTTAAAAGCAAATTATCTTTTCAAAAAATTGAGGCTTCAGAGCAACTCAAGAATTCTGGGAAAAATCTTCCTCTCTCTACCTGTGTTGTTTGCCAACTGTACAGAATAATAATATTTTACATTTTAGTAAGCCACTTTTCAAAATACACATCTTTCAGATGTCATTCTGATGACCCTATGGAGTAGGTAAAACAAGTATTATCATCATCTACACAGCTAATAAGTAGTAAAGACAGGATTCAAACACAATCCTTCTTAGAAAATGACTCCAAGACTTAGAGCATAGATATGAGAAAAACGCTGGCATCCTAGACAAAGGCGAGATTAGTCTTAATTTCCATGCTGAGTCTATGGAGATGGCTGTAGCCCAGTGAGGTAGGCAGCTCTTGTTTTTAATAGATTGCCAGCTTTAAAAGATCATTAGTGTATGGTGCCCTAAGCCAGCACATTGTTATATCCTTTCACAGTTTTAGAATTCTGACTTTCCCAGATCTGCTTAAGTATCTTTCTATTCTAAACCAGTTCAACTTGGACACCTAAATAAAATCAGAGTAGGCATTTCGTGCACTTCACGATTTGAAGCACAATGCTGACACCTAGTGTATTGACTGATTTTCTTTTCCTTCCCGACTTCCTTCCCTCCCTCCCTTTTCTTTTTTCTTTTTCTTTTTCTTTTTTTTTTTTTTTTTTTTTTTTTTTGAGATGGAGTTTCACTCTTGTTGCCCAGGTTGGAATGCAACAGTGTGATCTTGGCTCATCACAACCTCCACCTCCCTGGTTCGAGCAATTCTCCTGCCTCAGCCTCCCGAGTAGCTGGGATTGCAGGCATGCGCCACCATGCACAGCTAATTTTGTATTTTTAGTAGAGATGAGGGTTCTCCATGTTGGTCAGGCTGGTCTCGAACTCCTGACCTCAGGTGATCCACCCGCCTAGGCCTCCCAAAGAGTTGGTATTACAGGTATGAACCACCACACCCAGCCCCCTTTTTCTTTAAAGAATGGCTATTAGGGTATAGTTTAATAATAGTAAAAATTTATTGAAAACTTAACATGTTAGTATGTTAAGTATCATGCTAAGCACTTTAAATGTATCATCTCATTTACCTTCTTCAACTATGAACAATGTTTTATCATCATCTCTACTTCACAAACAAGGGAAAAGAAGCTTAAAAAGTTAAGTCAAATTTTATTACTGCAAAAGATGGGATTCAAATCTAGATCAGCTTGACTCTGGAGTTGAAGCTCTGAATCACTATTTGTAAAGGAATCAAGTAGGGCTGTGTTATGAAATAGGTTAGTTTATTTCTACTCACTTGGAGGACATTTGCACACACTTCCTTCAAGACTGTAGGTAAGCATTCAGGTAGAAAAGATGACTAATCTGCCCAAGTGCAGTGGCTCACACCTGTAATCCCAGCACTTTGGGAGGCCAAGGCAGGTGGATCATTTGAGGTCAGGAGTTCAAGACCAGCCTGGCCAACATGGTGAAACACCATCTATACTAAGAACACAAAAGTTAGCCGGCCGTGGCTGTGCACGCCTGTAATCCCAGCTACTTGGGAGGCTGAGGCAGGAGACTCACTTGAACCCAGGAGGTGTAGATTGCAGTGAGCCAAGATCACACCACTGCACTCCAGCCTGATGACAGGTAAGACTCTGTGAAAGAGGTGAAAGAGAAAGGAAAGGAGGGGAGAGGAGGAGAGGGGAGGGGAGGGGAGGATCGCTGTCTTTAGTGTTATTTAACACATTGAGTACCCCTTATATGCCAAGCGTTTTTTCTTCAAAATGGGGAAAGGTGGCCAGGCATGGTGTCCTCATGCCTGTAATCCTACCACTTTGGGAGCCAAGGGGCGGCGGATCAGGAGGTCCAGGAGGATCAAGCCGGTCAGGAGAATCGAACCATCCTGGCTAACACGGTAAAAACCTGTCTCTCTACTAAAATACAAAAAAAAATAGCCAGGCGTGGTGGGTGGGCCGCCTGTTAGTCCCAGCTACTCAGGGAGACCTGAGGCAG